ACTAAACGTTCACCAAAAAACTTTAGTGAAAAAAATTGAAAAAACGAGCTACAAACATATTAACGCCAAACATTCCGTAGAATTTATAGAATATTGTAATATATATATATATATATATATATATATATATATATATATATATATATTAGAAGTATGACTAAAAATTTTTTTGGCAATTTTTGGTTTCCCATGCCACTATGAGTGGAGAAATTACATTTTAAAACTGGAAATATCATTTGAAAGTGTTGAATCTTAAAAAAGTTCACCCCCCTAAGCTGAAAACCGTTTTCTCCCATCTATCTATTGTTAGATACAGTACAGTTTAAGGTATCACAGCTTCAGTTTATTGCTGGTGTGATTTTGCTATATGTACGCATGTTTATTACATAATCTTTCATATTATATATTATATTTGTTATCATCACCTGACTTTTGATATTTTATAAACTTATTTTGATAACCTAAACTCATAAGATTTGTTTATTTGTAGATAATTAAATTTACACTCAAATTATAATTCGACAGGACTATAGTCAAGATGTCTAAAAATAGTCTTCCTTTAGATTTGAATAAGAAAATATGGGAATCAAATTTGGTGAGATTTGAAACAGTTAAGAATTCAAATAAGTATGCAAAGATTGTTGACAGTTTTGATCAAATGAACAAAATGCCAACAGAACAGCATATCCTGGACAGATTTAAGTGCTTGGCTGCAAATGTGAAAAGTAGATAGGAGAGAGTTGTGATAGTGGTCAAAGAAGTAAAAATCTTATGGAAAAAACTGAATCTTCCAATTCAAAAAGGCAAATCTACAGTGGAAAGAAAAATTGAGAATGTACTAAACAAGTATGAAAAAGACAGCAGAAAACCAGGAACGCAAGACTTTACCAACTTGTTCAATGTAACTGATGAAAATGGAGAATAGTTGTGTAGAAAGATAAAACCCTCTATAATCTTCAGATGTCAACAAATGGTAGAGCTGGCTACTGCACCACAATTGAAGATACACAAGGAGTTCATCCTAGAAAACTAAAGTTGATTAAGCAAAAATTCAGTCAAGATACTAAGGATGATTTAAACAGTGAAGATGAAGAACAGCAAAGAGTCAGTCAAGCAAGATACTAAGGATGATTTAAGCAGTAAAGATGAAGAACATTTTAACACTGAAGAAGAAAAACAAGATTCTGACAGTGGTTCTCAAGATTCAGATGCTCTGAAGGAAGAAATTGTTTGGAGAGATGATATGGCTTTCTTTCATCACTTGATCACTTGTTACAGACAGTTTAAGAAAACAGGATGCTTCCCTAAAGTAAATTTCAGAACTTTGCCAAATATAAGCAATGCAGGATAGAATAGCCAAGCAGACTATGCTTTGCAAGCTTATATTTTACTTCCAGAATTTCGACAGTCAGCTGAAGGTCAGTCATCATGTGACTTTATTACTGGCACGTGGAGTGACATCTGGTTTTCTGGTCAGGTTTATAATCAGGATAACTACAATAATTTGGCAGCCGTTTGCAAAGATCACTCAAAGGCAATAAAGACTTTAAGGACTTTTTGGTCGGTTGAGCCGACTCCAATCTCAACTCAAAGGTCAAACATTTGTGCTGAACGTGCAATTAAAGTTCTGCAGGATTTACTTCTATTGTGCAAAAGCATTGAAAAAATTAACATTAAATTTCTTTTGACAAATGAACACTAAAACCTGTATGTTTGTATTTCTGATTAAAAAAACCATTTTGTACAATGTATAATTTGATTAAGGGGGTGACATTTTTTTAAAGTTGACAGTTGCCATTGGATTTTTCTTGATCTTTGCATTAAAACTCCACAAAAAATAACATGGGGATAGGGTCTTTAAAAATTGTCATATCCTTAATATATATATATATATATATATATATATATGTGTGTGTGTGTGTGTGTGTGTGTGCGTGCGTGTGCGTGCGTGCGTGCGTGCATGCATAATTATGAAAATAAATAATTGAACAGCTGAACAAAAGATTAAATGAAATAACAAGTACTTCTGTCACTCCCAGTTGCAACAAAGCTATCATCATCATCTTCATCTTCTTCATCGTTGTCTCCCTCTTCCTCCTCCTCCTCATCTTCCGAACTGCTGCTCCAGTTATCGACATCTACCAACTTAATGACAGTGCTCATGTTCTTGTATTCGTCGCCAGTGGGAAACCACGTTTCAAATGATTTGTCTTTGTACAAGTTCTTCTTCACATCTGATGTCTTGAATCGTTTTTGCATTCTTATTAATCACTAAGATGTGCGAATTATTTTTCTAAGCTTCTACGATAGCATCACGTTGAAGCAAAACAACACATTTAGCGTGCTTTAAATGCGCTATCGGGAAGGTCACTAATGACGAATTTCAATGAAACAGGTTGGACATTAGTTAGGTAACTGAACTAAAAAAGTTGACAAATAGAAAAAGAAATATAGAACCAAGAAAAAGCTTTTAAAAACTGTTAACTACATATAAATTTGCAACTCCAACATAATTTTACAATAACAATTAAAAATTGTAAGAAGAGAACTTGAAGTTGAAAAGGACTCAAGTTACTCAAATGAAAAACAAGCTAAAGAGGCTGTTATTGCCCTATTAATTTCATCTAATATAGATTAATTTGAGTTTAGTTTTATAATATTTAATTTTTAAAAAAGTTGCTTCAAATTATAAAAAAAAACTAAAAAGAAATAAATTAGTGACGGTGAATTGCGTATAAACGCAAGTCCTCTGCGGACAACTAACTGTGTTGAAGAAAATATTTTAAAAATCTAATAAAAAATAATAATAATAATATTACTATTTTCTTTTAGTTGTAATTCATACGCATTACCAGCGATACACACGTGCAGAATACGTTGATACGTACGTGTACGTATACCCGGCAAACATATTGGGTCATATTCACATACATCACACACACACACACACTCACACACACACACACACACACACACACACAAGTAGATCTCGAATTGTGTATTGAATGGCGACGTTGTGGAAGTCTTCGGACTGGGTAAAAAGAAAGAATCGGTAAATCTTTCAGAGTTTTTATACGCAGATTTATAGAGGGGACAAGTCGAATCGGAAGGTGGAAGATTGTGAGATTCGTGAAAAAAAACAAGGCGATAAATGGTTTTGGTGATAATAGAGATTGCTCACGTGGTTCTAATATAATCATCAGTTTAATTACAACGATAGTTCCAGGAAAGGAGAAGTATGTTTAAAGTCCTTAAACGTCAGGCTCATATTTACTAGAAATAAGGTTTATGTGTCAAATGATGTGTTGATTGTGTAGTAAGGCAACATGAGCCTTATTTTTATAAAATTATTCAATATAATATAATTGCAAAGCCAGGGCAGCCATATTATTCAAATACTGTCTTATAGTAATCTCATTTTTTCACTAATTTTGTTTGAGAAAAAAATACATTTTTATGTATTATTTTGTAAATTAAACAACCTGAAACTCGAAGCCGAACTCAAAAATTTTAACAAAATCATTTATTTATTATAAATAAAATAAATTGAAGCTAGGTAATGGATTAGATGAAAACGAAGAAATGAAAGAAAAGTATTTGGACCATATAAATACCTGAAAATCTTCGACCATCATTTTAGCATCCTCATCAACAGCAGCCTCTGCAGAAGCAGCAGCAGCAGCAACACCCTTCTTCATCTCCTCATCATGCCCCGGCACGCCATCGTTGGCTGTTTCATGGAGCTGGGTGGGCAACGAAACGACAAGCTCCAGAAGATGAATCGTCAGAAAAATGATCGACTCATTTATATTTTTGTGGTTCAAAATCTATAAAAATATTTGTTTATTTTATTGGTCAGCATTTTAAAAAATCGCCCAAAAAACTAAATGGTGTCAATCGTTGGAGGCGTTCAACACTTCTTCGATGCAAGACGGATAACAATATAATAATTTTTATAATGGAACAACACAGCGTCAACCAGACAAGCTAATATTAAAATATTTCAAGTTCAAACGATCATTAAATTTTCAAAATGTTCAACTGAATGCTGAAATTGTAAGTGAAAGACGACACTTACTTTGTACAAGAGGGTGAAAATGAGAGCGTGCATGGAGCTACAGTGTAGCAGTCGATAGAGGGGGTAGAGGGATGGGTGTGGGAGAGGGGGCATTCGGAATGGCGGCCACAGTGAGGTCGACTCATTGTAGAGATTGTTCTGTTTGACACTGATCAATTATTACATCATTTTTAGTAACTCTTTCATATACGAATACAATTATTTACATACGTAAGTACATAATAAGAAATAATACAAACACTTACAGACTAACGCAACCACAAGCGAGTGAACAGGTTATAACTCAAAGAACAAGATGGTCCGGAATATCTTAATGATATAATGACCAACAACCCAACAAAATACGGATGACTGAACTACACTGTATATATTGCGCAGCGCAATAAAAAATGCGTTCATTGCATTAATAGGTAACTAGCAAAATATTAACATAGAAACGATTGATAAACATGGAATTGAATGATAAACATAAATATGAATGATAAACATGAAAATGAATGCAAATAATGAAGAAAAACAGAAAAAAAACATGAAACATGTTACTAGAAGAACAACAACGATAAAAAATGGTGAATAAAAAAAAGAAAAAGATAACGAACAACTGAGCATATCTGTCAAGAGACGATTGATACTCCCGCTTGTACATCGTCCTCATCCTTACCAACAACGGATTGAACTCTTCCTTCCATACGCTGTCTAAACATTCATTCCAATTAAAAGTGCTTTCATGATTTGAGAAACAAATTTTTTAAAGTTAAATCATATCAACAATTTTAAACAACGTTTTCAATAAAAATAATCTTCGAACAATTATTTTCTATCGAACAAATAAATCCGTCACGCACACGCACCCACCACCTATGAATATCACACACACACACACACATACACACACACACACACATATATATATATATATATGTGTGTGTGTGTGTGTGTGTGTGTATATTACTCAACTACAAGTTGAATAATGCCGAAAACGCAGTGATCTTTATAAATAATTGTATTAATAAAAGTTAATTAAACTTTGGATTCTTTTAAGCTCGCTAAACATAAGGCATGATTAGTTTGTGTTAATAGGGACAACCAACTAGTTAACGACGAATTTAACGTAATATATAGAGAAAAACAAACTGTTTAATCGGAGTCCCTATTAACACAAATAAACAGTTTGTTTTTCTCTCTATAATACGTAAACTGGTTGGTTGTATAATTGATACTCCCGCTTGTACATCGTCCTCATCCTTACCAACAACGGATTGAACTCTTCCTTCCATACGCTGTCTAAACATTCATTCCAATTAAAAGTGCTTTCATGATTTGAGAAACAAATTTTTTAAAGTTAAATCATATCATTTACCTTAGAATCAATATCAATTGATTCTATCAATATACCTTACATCCCACTCTTGGCACAAACGTTACTGTTTTATTCTATTTTTTACTTTTTATCCTACTGATACTTCTACTCTTCATCTCATTTGGTCAATAATCTTTCAAGCTTTTATGATTCTTTGCTGACTAAATCGTCGCACACATTGCCAATTTATATTCAAATTCGTCACAGTTTTTAAAATTAACTTAAATGATTTTTTAATTATTTTCAAGTTTATTAAACATTTTTCTACCCCTGACTTCAGCCCAACTGACTTTTCTTTTGTTTCTACCCTTCCAGTCCTTTCGTTTTCTAAAAGTTTTCCAATTTATATTCTTTCCCGCATTCTTATCCTACCTAATGCGAGTTCTCAAGCCATCACTTTTTCTTTAATGTAGTCACTTAACATGCCCTAACCAGTTCAATTATTGGAACTTCATGTGGCAGATCACTTATGGTAACTTAAAACTCAGCAGTACCAAAATGACGTTTTTCAGCTCTCCTCTTAGCACTATTTGCCCATTCGGACTTCTATCCCATGTACTGCACTTCACACAGTCATAATTTCTGACTTAATTTTTTTCTTACATATGCTAATTTACGACTTTAGTTTCATCTTGCTCTACCCATCATGCAGATTCTTGAATAGTTCATGTATAAAAACCAAGCATGCTTGCAAAACAAATATTCACTTCAGCTCCAGCAATTCAATTACATGGACTCAGAAATGTAATTCTTAACCATTATAAACAACAACAACAAAAGACCATCTTTTCATGATAACCCCCTTCATTTGTAGCCTCTTAACAGTTCCTTCATTGAAAAAACAATAAAGCACTAATAATCAATAAATCAATTTGCAACTAAAAAATGATCGCAATAAGAAATTTGAATAGTTGCAGTTAAATTGTTAAAACAAACAAATAAGGAAACGTCACAAACCTAGAGGCACATATTTGCCTTGCTGTAAAACTCCACTAACCTCAAACAAAAGTGGAGGTTTGAACTCAGATATCTACATGAACAAAAAACAGATAAAATGACTTATTATGGCATAATTTTTCAAATTTCAATGTTAAAAATTCAACCAATCAGATAATTTTTCAATTCAAAACAGTCTTCAAACCATTTGTTTCTTATTAAATAACTTAAACCTCGTTCGACCTGCACTAATCAAACAATTATTTCTCATATTCTTTAAATTGGTTCGAAGTTTATTATATGTAACTTAGATTGTCTCAAATCATCGGCTATAAACTCAAAAACAAATATTTTTCCTTCAATTGTTCTATTTAACGAATTTTCTGCTACATCCTCATATTCGTAATGAAATTAGCAAACAAACGGCAAAATACTTGAGGAATTATAGCGTCAACATGTCCGTTCCATTCAGGATCCAACACTCCGCATCTATTTGGTATGGAATTGGTCAACTGACTGTGCGTCTTATCGCCAACACACAGCAAACTCACAACTTCATTACGCAGAAGTGAAGAACCGTCTTTATCTAAAAATACATTTTAAATGTATTAGAATATTTTTAACAACAATTATTAATCGTAATAAATACACGTTACAATGAAATTTGTACGATTTATATGCAAATGTAACAGAATTATTGCACACAGAGAATCTACAAAAATATGCAGAGCAAATCGATGAGAATACCCATATACAGTGGCGGCAAGCAGCAGATATTTAAATGAAGTATACATAAAAACAAATTATTGTCATTTAGTCAACAGTTGGTTGTTTTGAAAACGTCAGAAAAGTTTGACCTGGGCACAGCATTAACTAATGAGCAGTAACAAAAAGAGCTTTGTTGTCTCATTATCCTCAATGATTTTGGCTTGAATTAAATTATATCTTAGAATATGTGCACGGCCTAATACAGAAGAAAACAGAAAAACTGGGTTCACCCGTTCACGTGTTTATGCACCTATAAAGAATTCTTTCCATTATGCTTTAACGTATCACCTTATTTCAAGTCTGAATGAACTAAGGTCTTCACCTTTTTTGAAGACTTCAATTTTTTAAATTTAAAAATATTTGTTTTATTTCTACTTACTAAAAAAATTGCAAAATCAATACACAAGAAATAAAAATTAGAAAAATTTATATTGGAAGTATATTGAATAATAATGACATTTTTATCGAAAGACGTTGAAAACAATGAAAGTATTAAAACCGGATAGAACTCGAACACCCAGCAGTGTGGCGATAAAATAGAGACATGCCTCTAACATGGGCAGCTCTTGATCTTGCTGCAATCGCGTTCTAAATCTATTCTTTTCGACATCAACACTCAACGTCGACAACACGTTGAATTTTTCCAAAATCATATTCATCATTTCGTCTGGGTTCATGTGTGAAGCTACCAACTGAAATGTTATTGAAAAGTTTGTGTAATTAAGAAAAAACTACATATTAAATGAAACGCTTTTGTCTACTGGTGAAAAATTCCCTTGAAAATTGAAATGAATCTGAAAACTAAATCTAACTTGCAATATAAAATAATCAGGATCTAAAGTGGAGCTTGAAAAATTGCTATGTACATAAAGAAGAGATTGGCCTTTTATTTGCTGTCCATTTCTCACCCACAATCCGCAGTTTATTTCATTGAAACGTGCCTAAGATGGTAGTTATATTGAAAAATTAAATTAACGAGCCTAAAATTGTTTTAAAAAAAATCATAACAAAATTATATAAAAATTCATCAAACATAACAAATTTTGTATGTACCTACAACAAAGTTAAATGGAAATACAAAAAAAAAAAAAAACTCACGAACCAAAAGATGAAGTGGATGAAGGTACAAAATTTCCAAGAACTCAAGAGATGGCAAGAGGTCAGTGAGCTCCATTCCCTGCTGCTGCAGAGCATTGCTGATGAGCAGTGATAGATAACGATGGAGCGGATAATGAAAAGACATTTCATCAGGGTTCATCTGAATATAATATCATTTAATGGCTCATCATCATGTTGTCAAAAAAAAGTAAATTGTCAAAAAAGATGCAGATGTCTAAAACGTTGGCAATTTAATGATTTGTTAAAATATTTTCAAGTAATTTCTTGTTTTTTATTATGCAGCTCTGTCAAGCACACAACAGCTTGTGTATCATTCTTTACTTAGTTACAACTCACATGCCACAAAAACTAACATCCGTAAGAGGTGACATACATATACATTTTTAACATTTGTATGAACGTGTTTGACGTCTTCAGATCAAAAAAAAGATCAAAAAGCGTTTTTAGTTCAGCAACACTTACTTTTTTAAGAGGAGAAAACTAGAAAAGATGCGAAAAATATAAAATACAAAAGAAATCTTCATTGTCACTTGGACTGTGTGAACTTTGATAGATAGAAATAGTACAAAACCACAAATGCCTTTAATGCACTACGCAGTTGCTATATGATGAAACAAGACCTGGTGTGGTAACGCATTTTTCTTCATAATGACGTAAATTAAATAATTAAAAATTTTCTCTTCTTATAAACGGATTGATTTTCTTTTCATTTTCTCGATTTTTTCAAATAAAAAAAGTTTCATTATTATTATATTTATTATCATTTTAATTATTATAATTATTCCAGTATCCCCTCTAGTATCATGTCTGTTCAGATTAAATCGCCCAGATATTGCTCTTCTTCACGGAGACACGATCGAAATTCTGGAACTGATAGTCCTCCACGAGTCAAACCTCCAAAAATCGAGGACCACAAATGATCTAAATATTCACAGAACCTCTATAACAACTTGATTGACAATATGAATCACTTATTCTATGAACATTTTAATTTATCGCTTGTCAGTTATAACTGGTTGAATCAATATTACAATAATTTAATTAACTTATATCCAATTTATTGTAACTGTAACTGCAGTTTAAATTGATTTGACTTCTTCTTGTACTTAATCATTTAAAATTATCTCTATTTTATTTTGCGCTAATTTATTCTATTTTATTTACCATTTAATTATCGTATAATATTTGATTTTAAAATTTTCATTGTCTTTTGATTTTAACAAGAGTTTCCATTATCCTTATCATTATCATCATCATCAACAACAAAAACAACAACAAAAACATTATATAGGCGCTAATGTCCAGTTAGAATATTTGGGTAAATGTTACGATTTAAACTGCAAAAACATTAGAAAAAAAGTGGCACGCCAAAAGAAGCTCGAGGACATGCTCCATGTAATCAGCTACATAAACACAACAGCATAATAGAAACGGCAGATTCTAAGTCGCTTCATACCGTCTCGATTATCGTTTCAGTTGCAATCTCATGGTAGTTTGCTAACTTGAATTGAAAACAGCCTTAACTTGCTGAGACGGGAGGCCGAGAGATTGGTTGCCTCTTTCCGTAAGCAGTTATAATGCTAAAGTTATGTCACTGCCTTACAAGAGTGGAGGTCTGAACATCAAATCATTGAAATAACACCCAGAGATGATGAGATTAAAACTTTGTGGGTACTTAAAATTAAACACCAATGAAGAAATGAAACTTCTGTGGAACGAATCATACAATGACTATATAAAAATCAACAACCAAATACGAAACAATAACATACAACTGGCTTACACTGTCCTGGAACAATGTCAATACCAAAACGACTTCAACTATACATCGTTGCTACATTGCCAGAGAACATTGGTAAAGTCGGTTAAATATCATATACATGACTTAGAGATCTCTCGTTCGTCAAACTCAACAAAATATCTGTCAGAAGTGCTATATAAAATTACCAGAAAATATCTCAACAATTACCCACAGACGTAAACCTAGCCAGATGGAAAAAACGACCAACACGTTTGTCGTAACAAGTGCAACACGTTCTCTCTGCAATGCAAAACAAACAAACAAACATGTGGTATCAAATTGTGGTTCACCATCAGCACTTACTAGATATTTAAATCGCCATAACGAAATCCTCACCATAATCTTAAATAACATCAAATCAAGTATTGAGCCTGAAGCAGTCGTTTTTGCGGATATTGAAAATGATTCTATTCGCTTTGTGTCACAACTATTCAACTAGCTCAGGCCAGATATAGTAACTATCTACCAAGTTACGATTTAGATTATTAATTTGCCATGAAATCAACTTCACTGAATCCAAACTCTAAAAAGTCGAAAAATATAAAAACAACCTCAAAAATAACCTGTCGAATATTTTATCTTTTTGCACTTGGCCTAGATTGTGGGCAACAGGGTTTTACTTTATTCTATTTTATTTTACATTATTTTATTCATTTTATTATAATTCTTTAGTTTATCGTATATATTTTAACTTTATCATTAATTTTATCATTGACTTTTTAGATTTTAGAAGAAATAATAACAGATTTTCTATTATTATTATTATTGTTGTTGTTGTAGTTATTATTATTATTATTGTTGTTGTTGTAGTTATTATTATTATTATTGTTGTTGTTGTAGTTATTATTATTATTATTGTTGTTGTTGTAGTTATTACTATTATTATTTTTGCTGTTGTTTTATTACAGTTAATATTAGTAGTAATGATATCAATACATTATTAATGTTAGTACAAACCTCAATCTCTCCAACACTGTTTTCTGTGAACCATTTGTTCAGATAAGTGACAAGTATGTTGACGATGTTGATTGTCAGTTGCTTGCTACTGCTATCATTCAAATGCTTCAGGAGCGCCCACAGTGGTGTTGAACAGATCTCCAGTTCGGCACTGAAAGCCTTGTAGTACGTTTCCGTCTCAAATTCAACATGTAAATCATGTTCTCTTCGGTTCATGTTCAAACCTAAAATAATAAAAACAAAAATATACAATAATTTCAATATATAGACAAGTATTAGATGATTTTCAATAATTTATAATATTATGAGACACAAAACAAAACTTCCTTTGACCAAAAATGTTACAGAAATATTATCAAAAATGGTGCTAAAATAGGCAAAAAACATTAAAAAAAACAAGCAAAACATAGCTATAAATTTGACGTATAAGATTATAAGTTAGACCTTGCAGACTCGATATGACGTCGGCCCATGCATTAACAAGACTCGTACTATTGAGAAAATATTGAACAATTGGAGGATGTGCCAAAATATTTATGAAATCAGTCACAATGGGCCAGTAACAATGCTCCTTCATCACATTCGACGTCAAGTTCAAGGTGTTTCCTGCGTGTTACCATCATAATCAATTCTACTACTAAATCATTACTTTATTATCCATTACATCATTATAATTATTATCATGTATTTTTTCTTTTCAGCCATCTCCTTAGAGGCAGCAACAAATGCGAAGAACAAACACGACGACTAAAACCAATGCAGAAAGACTAAACAATTGCAACTAATTTAAAAAAGAAGCAAAAAATGCGCAAACGCAAAACTATAACAACTGTCATTAACATAGTTTGTTTCTATGTGCTTTACTGTAGCATTACGCCAAAATTTTATTTGATTTACATACATATAATGATAAATTATATCACCCCATACACGCATGAATAAATTTGAAAAACGTATAAGTGACGGCGGTGAAGGATGTGCATTCATATTCAGCGGGAGCTGTCTCAAGATGGCCAAACAAGTAGGTCAGGCAGAATTGGCAGTAGAAGGAGGTTTTTCTTTTGAAAGGATGGTTTCGTTTGCTACCTGGGTTATGTGTTGCGAGAAAGTGCTGACGATTCAAGTGCTGTGCTACAAAAAATTGGCTGCCCCATGGGTAAACTTAAGAGTGTGACGCCACTAATGTGTTCGGAAATTATTCCTAAAAAGTTATAAAGAAACTCTTATAAGGCGTGTATTAGAAGCTGCCTGTTGTATGAAAGCAAAACTTAGACTCAGGCGAAGGGAAGACTGGATAAATTGTTTAGGACTGAGAGGCCATTTTCGCAAAGTGATTATAAGATAAAAATAAAAAGACTAGAGGTGAGATATATCTGATATCTAAGATGATTTGAGCATGTTGTGACGAAGGACAAATTGACTTGAGTTTTTAGCTGCCGAACTTCAGAAACAGAGAAAAGAACAGAAGAAGGACAAAGTTGATTAAATAGGACGGAAAAATTGTGTCCTAATAAAATGTCGATAGACAGGCCTTTAAACGGTATTGAAGATGATGAAAAATTAGACACGTACACCGACGTTACATCATATTTTACATTACATTGTATTCTATATCACTATGATTCATTGCACTATTGATACATTATATAGTGAGAGATAAAAACGCCGTTAAACATCAAATAAACAAAAATAACCATATCTAGCTTGATTAATGATATGCTTAAGACAAGCAAACATGATATGAATGAGATGGAACTTTGTGACAATTTCGATAGCCAGCTTGAGAGGACTGAGAAGCTGGACACTGATGTGAACTACTGAATTCGACACTGACGATTTATCCTCTGAATGCGTTAGCTCCACCATCATGCATCGATAATGCTCTACGAACACTTCCACAAAAGCCAGCTAAGATTAACATCAAAATAAGTTTATTAGTGACGTGTTTTACAGATGAATGGAGTTTCTAAAAAATATTAACCTTTAAATCAACATTAAAATTTTTTATTTTATGGACAACGTTTTTGAATATTTTGGAAAAAATTTCCCGATGTTTAAAAATTAAAAGAAAACAATGCAACATCAGCTAACAGTACTTTATATTGTTCATTTGGTAGAATACTCAGGAGAAATGTTACCAGATGTTCAGGGAATTTTGACTTGATGACCCAGAAAAACATTTCATCGAGCAAGGTTTTATGAATCAAATCATCTGCCAGCTCTGGAATATCTGGCAATTCATTCAGACAATCGTTTCAAATAATCATCAGTTCCATAACAACTAAATGCACATACGTACTCACACCATCACTCAAAAAATTATTTTAATAATATGTTGCTTAGGAAGTGGAACTTGTTACTTGTTATATTTTGCAAATTTTGTTAGCCATAATATGTGTCCAAGAGTACGGTCAAATTTTTTTACATCAAAATCTTTTAAAAGTGTTAAAGCATCTCGTTGAAATTATTACAAATACAAAAAATTTTTTGTACCATTTCTTCTAAATCCGACCCATAACGGATGGAGACTATAAACGAGGATTTATTGATTGATTCCTCTAAATTTATCATTTGTTGTCAATCTAATAAGTCAGATAACATTTATAAAATCATAGTTATTTAATATCAGTCTAAAGTGGTAGAGGAAAAATTATTAAACTTGATCATACCAATTCTTAACATTACAGTCACAATGCTTTGGGTGCTAAAATTTTTAAGTCCTTCATCCATTCATTGCATTAGAATTAACACCTTACAATAATTTTTCAACAAAGAATACTTCAAATGCCTATATATAACCAGTTTTACTTAAAGCATGGCGTTATTATCAGTATCATAATCAAGATCCCAAACTTTCGCGCCAAAAGACTATTATTCACGTCATTAAGTTTTGAACAGGCTATTGCTTAATAACAGTGCGAGACATGACACTTCTACTGACTGAGCAAACTCGCCAACCCTATCCTATGCTAGTTCTTTGCAGTGGTTAATTTCTTGATGTCTTGCAAAATCCAAGTCAATTTCAAAATTAACCAAATAATCAAATAAAAAAGATTAATTAATTAATTTATTTATTTATTGCTGAAAAATATAAAACAATCGTATTGCATTACCCTAATGGAACTTATTTATAGAGCTAAGAAATGCTATACTTAATTGAATTGTTTCATTTTCATGATATATCATAAGAGATGTTAAAGAGAAATAACCTGGAAAATATTTGTTAACATTGATGGTATCGAATTTCAGGGAAGCTTCATAAATGTCATATTCCACGCCAACATCTACAAAATGAGTTCATTTCTTCATTAAACAATGTTAAATTTTGAGCAATATTTTTGTCAAATTTATACTTAATATATATATACCACACAGAGAGACACATGCACACCACACACACGCACGCACACAAAGATTTATTTATTCATTTAATCAACCGCTTTTACTTATCATGTAAGTTGTGTAATCGTTTTGGCTTGTGAAAACATTCGAAAAAATTTGTTGCATTAGATCTCCAGTTTCTGAAAGTTCTTGAAGAAAGGAAATAAAACTGGTCATTTTACTAATATACTGTTTCTCTGCCCCTTGAATGTTTAATTAACAAAATACATTTTTGTGTGAAAAAATATAAATATTAAAAGGTTGAAAAGGTCAATTTCTCTAGTGCACTCGCTTCAGACTTTTCAACGACAAACACACAGCGTATATGAATACACTTGAAAAGCATGCATCACACACATTGCATATGATCCCAGTCACTGCAACAGCAAGACAATGCGCCTTTAACCATTGTGTCATTCCAGATTAAGTAGATGTAAATATATAGCAAACCTGAATGTCTTAAATATTGAACCAATCTGACAACCAATCTGGGTATCATTATTTCGGCCACAAATAACAAATCTTTAGGCGGCTCAATTTTTGATCTGTCTTTATTTTTGGAGTGCTTTGGACAAAATCTGCCAACAAATATCTTAATTTTACGATGTATCAATAAACAATAATCTATAATATTTTATAAAACTTGTAAAGTGTCGTTATAAATAATATATATCTTCAATAATATCTTCAACATATTTCTAATTCTCTTACAACATTGTATTTTAAAAGTCCTTTAATTACAAAACAGAAGCAGAATAATGCCGAAAACACAGTGATCTTTATAATATATATGTTGGTAAAAAAAATAAATATATATATATATTATATATACAGGCAGTAATTTACGAAATTTACGAAATTTCTAGATTTGTTGCTGGTAAAAGACCACAATTAATGCAATAATTTATAAAATCTACAAAATTTCTAGTGTTTCTAGAAATTTGGTAGATTTCATAAATTACTGCATCCTTGCATGCATCTTCTATCCTCTTAACATCATTCGATAACTTTTTTTCAACTCATTTCTCCGTTCAACATTCAGATCACGGCTTAACCAGATGTTTTATAAATTTTCACCTGAAGTTTTTGAAGACATGCTCTTCTATTTTTGGATTTTCAAATATTATTAAAATTTGTCAGACAATCTCATTATCTTTCTTTCCCAGTCTGATCAGTTTCAAAATGTTTTTTGACCAAAATCCCGTTCGTTAAATGTTAATTATTTTGTAGACTCAGCGCCCTCACTAACCCCCCTATTGACTTCCCTTTCTCTTGTTTCAACAACATTGTTCAGCGCCTTTTGAACATTTTGACGTCATCGTTTATAGTTTTTTTCACTTCTTCCAACATCAGATCTGACTAAATCTGAAAAATATCTGCTCATATCATTTTCAGAATTGATATTTTGTTGCATAGTTTTGACTCTAAACTATCATTTTCTAAAATTTAATATCACTTTCAATGATAATCTTCAGTGATAGTCTTAATAGCGTTAATCTGCAACAACAAACAAATTTATACATGGTGGGATTAGTATACTTATAGTCAGACCACCTTTTAACTTCTATACGATGAAAATCTCATCTCTATTTAACAAATTTTTTTATGTTTCTTGAAATTTAACATATCAAACTCTGTCTGTAGAACAAAAATAATTTATCTTTAAAGAACAAAAATTATGAAAGTTAAAAGAATTATCCTACCAGCAAATACTCTTAATGAATTGATAAGCCATGTTTTTATACACCTTTCATACTTTGTTTTTCAAGCTAGTTTCTCATAATTACATTTAAACTTATATTTCCAGACGGTTTCCAAATTTTTTCTGTAGAGTACATTTCAAATGCTTTTAATAATCTGCCTTATTTTCATTTTTTTTTTTGTTCAAGTTTGGCAGTGTAGAAAAAAAGAGTTTCTAATATTTTCGAATTACTTGTTGAAAAATTACCACTTTTCTAGATTTTAAAAACAGTTCAAACATTTAACATTTTAGACTCTAGAGATATTCATAAATATTTCATCACCAACACAAAAAGTTATTTTACTAAAATTCAAAAAAGTACATTAAAATTAATGATATTGCACAATTTATTAAATAATATGTAATAATTTATAATTATAGATAGATGTTTTTATCAAGATATTGAAAAACAATGAAAATAAATACAATGAAATACAATACCCTTTAGCATCCATGACACTCTCATCACCACAGTCACATGCTCCTCCAGCTTGACTTTTAAACATGTTAAAATCATGACCATCATGGTCAGCTGCCTTGAAGCAATCCATGCAAAGGGACATGCATGGAGAGAGACCACAGGTGCGACATCTGTAGGCAACATATTCTGCTGTCCATACTAACCCACATATGCTGGAGTTGTTGTAAGATTTCACTGAGAAAGTTTTAAATCAAATATTGAAATATTTTATATAATATAACACAACCTTAATTAATTAATGAACTATAAAAAAATAAAACAGATACCGATTTCTAAAAATTCTTTGTACGTTTTGTCTCCAGCAATTATGGACTTGCACCATTCTAGTGTTTCAGCATCATCGATTTCCTTGTTTTTACTTAATAAATGATCAAGAACTATATTTAAATTAACATGATTTTTATTAACGCATTCCTCTTTAAGAGCTACTGAAAGATGCCGTTTTCCTCTCTTCATTAGTTCTTCAGCTGACATAGTACCAGTAGAATGACCAATAAAATTTTTAAATGGAAACAAAACAATATTTACGAATGTAAAATGTAAAACTAAAAGTGGGCTTAAGCAAAACTGATTGTATGCTAGTTGCTATATACATATATCAGCTGCTATTATTCTGTATAAAATTATAAATCTGTCTCATGGATATATATATATATATTATATATATATATATATATATAATAAATAAATAATGATTTGGTTTGAGCTTAGTACGTGAAATTTAAAAAAATTCTTTTAAAACTTTATACTAAAATTTTATGTTAGACTATTTATACAGATTTCAGTAATTCAGCAACTTGATGGAATTTTTTGTAAATAGGGTTTGTTGTCCACTGAAGTGGCGAGGACGTTGCGTTGCTCTTTACTTTACTGACATTTGGCCTTCTATGAGATTGTAGATAACTTCTTAATACAAAATCTGGCGCATAAAGTTTTTCACAATAGGAGCATCGAGGACCAGTTGTTGCAACAATAGATATTCAGCCGAAGTAGTACCTGCAATCCTGAACATGTCTTTAAGAGGTATCTGTGTCCCGATATTATTTCAAGAATGCTTTGAAGACAGCAAACATGAAAGGCTTCAAGAGCCTTGAAGTGTTGACAATAAGTAGTACAGGATTCACAACCAAATAACAGGGCAGAAATACAAACAATATGGCTGTAAAATTGTGGTTTGAAAAGACGTGATTCCCAGGTTTGCCAAATGCAGCCGACACCACCTTATTGCGATGCTCGAGTTTTGTAGTCTAGGATTTATCTTTGATTCTACCATGTCTCTTTCTTCTCAGATTAATAGTGTCGCTAGAAGCTCTTATTTTCATTTTCTTCTTCTCGTTTTTTCTTAACTCGTGTTAAACACTCTTTTGCCAAATCTGCTTTTGCTTTTTCTGGTCCTTTTCTCTGGAACTCTCTACCTACTTCTCTGACTACTTCTCTATCACTTGCGAAGTTCAGAGCGGATCTCAAGACCCATCTGTTTTCAAAATTCATTGAGGAGTGCTGTTGAACATCGCGGAAATAGCGCTTTATAAGCTAATTGATTAATTGATCTACGTAAAATAAAAAAAAACTGTTGCCTTTTTTTGATGATCCTACTCTTCTCCTTCTTGTTACTTCGTTAATCTTATCTAGGATTGATTATTGTAACTCGCTCTACTATGGTCTTCCTGATTCTATACTCTATCTTTTAAGTAAAGCTTTTAATTCTGCTGCTCGTCTAGTTGCTCCTGCCCCTTTCTCTTCTCATATATCTTCATATCTTGTTCTCTTGCACTGGCTACCTATAAAATATAGAATAATTTTTAAAATTTGCACGTTTATGTATAAGTCTCAATCTAAATTATTTCCTAAGTATTTATCAGATATATTAGTTGAACCTAAACGCCCCGGTGTACGATCATCTTCTTGTTCTCGCTTCTTTTTAACTCGTGTTAAACACTCTTTTGCCAAATCTGCTTTTGCTTTTTCTGGTCTTTTTTTCTGGAACTCTCTACTTATTTCTTTGACTACTTCTCCATCACTTACGAAGTTCAGAGCGGATCTCAAGACCCATCTGTTTTTAAAATTCATTGAGGAGTGCTGTTGAACATCGCGGAAATAGCGCTTTACAAGCTAATTGATTGATTGATTTCACGATCCAGACAGCAGACAGTACTGAGCACACTACCATCTTACAAGAATTTTTGTGAATCATCTTGAGCATCTTTATGAACCACGAAAGATATAGCTGGCTTATTTTTGATCTATGGTATTGCGGTTGCGTTTGATGATGAGAACACCAAACCAGAAGAGCAGTGAGTGGGAAAAGAAAAGAATAGTATTCGTTTGGATAGGCTGGACAGGTGTTTCGTTCCTACCGGGGACTCATCTTGAGCATCTTTATGAACCACGAAAGATATAGCTGGCTTATTTTTGATTTATGGTGTTGCGGTTGCGTTTGATGATGAGAACACCGAACCAGAAGAGCAGTGAGCGGGAAAAGAAAAGAATAGTATTCGTTTGGATAGGCTGGACAGGTGTTTCGTTCCTACCGGGGAATTATCAGCAGCCCGAATACCTATCAAAATAGTTATCACAGTTTCTTATAAAGCCCGCACAAATCAACTCCTTATTTCGTAGTGTTTTATTTATTAATCTTTTTAATCGCTAGGATTTTCAATCCGACAATTTCGTAGTGTTTTATTTATTAATCTTTTTAATCGCTAGGATTTTCAATCCGACAATACTTTCCCACCCGATCGTCGCAACGTGTGTTGGCGAACGTGATGGATGAGGTTGCATTGCCGGTTGTTGTTATATCGAAGAAAGATCTGCGTTGGAGTGGAAACTCTCGTTGCTTGTTTTTCCTCGATCACGTCGGGGTCACCAATTTGTTGCGGTTGCGTTTGATGATGAGAACACCGAACCAGAAGAGCAGTGAGCGGGAAAAGAAAAGAATTGTATTCGTTTGGATAGGCTGGACACGTGTTTCGTCCCTACCGGGGACTCATCAGCAGCCCGAATACCTATCAGAATAGTTATTGCAGTTTCTTATAAAACCCGCACAAATCAACTCCTTATTTCGTGGTGTTTTATTTATTAGTCTTTTTAATCGCTAGGATTTTCAATCCGACAATGGCAAGAGTGTGTAACTCGGTTTTTGCAGTGTTGACAACAAGTCTCACACGACTATAAGCACGTCGGTGACATCACGTCGTTTAGTTGTGATATAGTCCGGAAGAAGCCGCTGCATCCAGGTAGCCTTTCGTTATACATATAGTTGAAAATATACATCTAAATTATCTTGTATGGGTTAGAGTTAGTTAATAACTAGAAGTTGAAGTTAAACAAATAAATGCCGGTTGTTAAAAATTTGCTCTAACAAACCGTGTTTACCCTACACCATTTTGCATGGTAACGGATCTCCTCATCTGCCTGTGGTTAAAGAAGTTTCAGATCTTGGAGTCATTGTAAATGATAAATTGAAGTTCAATAGTCATGTTTTGAAGGTAGTTCACAAATCGAACTCTATGCTGGGTGTCATTGCCAGAAATTTCAAATACCTTTTTGACAAAGCTTTTGTAATTGGTGAGGTTGCACATGGAGTACGATATCCAAGTATGGCATCCTTACATGGTCTGTTTAATAGAGGAGCTGGAAAAAGTTCAGCGAAGGGCAACGCGTGTGAAAACATCCTGCAGAGGTCTTCCATACGAGGACCGGCTGGGGAAATTTGAGTAGCCATCTCTGGCCTACAGATGTCTAAAAGCCGATTTTATTTTCTCATATAGAATAACACATGGTCAGCTGCCTGTCGATGTTGTCCCTACGTTACTGTTGGCACACGATGTTCGTACAAGGAGCCATAACTTCAGGCTTATAGGCTCTAACCATAAAGACTGCCGTATATTTTATTTCGGATAGAGTAGTGGAAGAATAAAACAAAAGGTCGTTGTTAATGCCATCTCCTTGAACGGTTTCAAGTCAGCAGTCGATAGTTACTACAGCTGACTCCAAGTTCAGCTGGCCACCTAATTTGTACTTGATCTGTGTACATATACAGTTAAATCCATTTTGCTTGTTGAATCAAAATTAGTTTCTTTTGTCATTTAACGATTTATTTATCATCATTTTGGTTGTTGCTATCTCTGGCCTACAGACGTCTAAAAGCCGATCTTATTTTCTCATATAGAATAACTCATGGTCACGGTCAGCTCCCTGTCTTATAGGTTCATGTGTTTATATTCTGTTCAATTCTGTTGACACCGTTTTTTCTAATTCCATCTGATTTATTTTAATTTTAATTGGATTTTTTTGTACTTGTTTTGCGAGGAATTATGCCCGTGCTACTTGAAATAATAATAATCAGAACACTGAAAACAAGCAGACGCACAACGCATCACATACACACACAGCCAGTGACGTTGCCATGAATTCATCACCTTTGTCTAAAATTTAATTTAATTGTGATGGGGGCTAAAATCAGGTAAAATAGTTTTCAGTTCCAATTTTAACTAATTTTGAAATTTTTATAAAAATTTCGTTCAATTTAGCCTTTCTTTACCAAAATTTTTAAATTTGCCTGGGCATATTCTTAACACATACAAAAACAACACGACACATACACACGATACACACACACACCCACTATTTATTGTCTTTTATACAACGCGGCGTAATTTAATATTTATATATATAAATATGCGCAGCGATGCCTGAGTATTAGAATTCTTTACTAGCACATCTCCTCCGTTACGTACACTGAAAAAACGTTGTTATTGTTGGATCTGAAAATTCTATTTGGCGAGGGTTCGGTCGAGGATTACTCTGCGTGGTTTAATTTTGAAAAATTTAAAATGACCAGTTAGTACTTTTCAATTTAATTTTTCTCACTTGAAATTTTTTTTATGCGAAAAAACGTTAAATTAATGTTGTTAGTTTCTAGTTCTACTGCTACTCCTACAAACTACATTCTGACTTTTTTAAGAACAGCTAAAAAACAAAACGAACTTGTTCATTAATGAACGTTCAGTTTTAACTGCTTTTTGAAAAAATAAAAAGCATAGTAAATTAAATGTTGACAAAACTTTACATTAGTGCTTTGAAAATTTGAGATTGTTAGTAGAAGTGAAAATAGGTTAAAAGTCTAAATATGTCTAAAAGTGAATTGATATTAAAAAAATTAAAAAGACTTAATTATTAGAATTATAAAAGTATCTAGGATTTAAAGTGAAATACTGAAAATTATTTTTAAAATAATTGATTAAAAGTAAAACTGTCACCAATTATTTAATTTAATAACTTTGTAAGATTAAAATCATAATTTTGGTATACTTTCAATTTAATTTTTACGCCGAACCTAGCGACACAGTGGCCGTTTCCGAACGTTAAAAAACTATAGAAACGGCAGCCGTTTCCGAACGTTAAAAAATTATAGAAACGGCGGCCGTTTCCGAACGTTAAAAAGTTATAGAAACGGCGGCCATTTTCAAATGTTAAAAAATTATAGAAACGGCGGCCATTTTCTAATGTTGAAAAGTTTTATAGACACGGCGGCCTTACGCAAAAAATTGTGGTCACGGCGGCCGTTTTTCAATAAAGTTCGCTCACCTTACGTGGAGGTACATGGTATGCTCCAAAAATCATCTAATTAAATTGCATTTTTTAATCATAAATAAATGAATGTTTTCTATAAATATTCGCTTCTAGTGAATCTAATTGATTTTGAATGTTTTTTTATGTGTTATAATTACAGGTTGCTTTTTTTACAGATTACATATTTATTATATTATATCTGTACTGCTTATTTGTTTTAATTATAATTTCTAAATTTTTTTTTTATAGCACATTTAAGAAAATACATAAATTGTTAGAAATGCCACTTATCCAATTAATTTTAAATACAACTTTGAATTGCCGGATGAGTTTTTAAACTTTCAAAACGTTTCAGGCGAATTGTATTTATTTAACATTGAAAGGAATTACGACAACAAAATACAAATATATACACTAATCTACAATATAGTATATATCCAATAATATACAGTCATACATAAAATGTTTTATTATATTGTTCAGCTATTATTTCCTGCATGCTTTACAAAACCATTCTTTTTTACTTGGAGGCCTTTTGATGCCTGCACAAGAAAAGTGGAACCACTTGAGATAGGAATCACAGGAAACACTTCGAACATCCCTAAGATCATTGCTACAGGTTCCACACATCCATTCTTCATTGCAACATTTATTAATCATTTCTTTCAAAACATTTAGATCTAAAAAATCTTTCAATAAATATAGACATTCTTGTACTTGTCCATCTAAGAACTGACTTGGTACTGATTGAATATTGCTAATATTATAATCTTGTCCACTACCAAATAACCATTGTAACATCAATTTTTGCTTTTCTCTTGTTGGCTTCGAAGCAAAAGATATAGATTTGCAATGTTTTGAAGGCATGCCTAAACAGGTTAGTGTTGCTCCTTTTGGTCGACCTCTTGATTTAAAAGCTCGGGGAAAAAGAAGCTCTGAACATGGCAATGATGATGATTCTGTTGTAAGTTCTTGTGACTGTGAAGTGGCTGGCAACGCTTCAGGAATTTCTCCAAAAAGAACTTCATCATCTGCCGAAATTTGATTTAATAACGTATTTAAGTAAATATAGTACATGGGAGAATATCATATTTTAGGAAATTATTAAATTATGGATGTTGATAAAAAAGTTCAATAAAACAGTTAAAAATACCTGTATGTCTACTGCATGGTTCTTCAGTGTCAAATCTTTGTTGCTGTGAAGGCAGTGGCAAGGCCTCAAGAGAAGAATATTCATCATCTGCAGAATCAAGTGCATTGACTAAAATAATGATACATAGTTTTAATGTAAAAAAATATACCTTGACTACCAGTGGGTATTTTGTCAGCATCAATTTCCTGTGACAGCAATTGTGAAGATAAGGTTTCAATATTGACACCTGAAAAGACATAGATACAACAATTAGCAAAAACAAAGAGTAATATTAAAAAAACATAATTGAAATGCAAAAAGAGTACGTTGATCATCCTCGAGTACTTCAACACTTTCCGTTTCAATTCTTTGTTGAAATGGAGGCAATGGTGATGACACAGTCTCATGAATGTTACCACAAAAACCTTCTTTATCTTTAAAAATGTGGGTAAAAATATAACATTGGCTAATTACCAGTATAAACATTTAAAACATACTTTGATGGTTATCAATTGATTCATTACCAAGGTAGACAACTTCTACTTCATGACCATCCTTCCAGGCGTTGACAATTTGTTTTAGCTGTTTGGTACGCTTCTGAAAGAGATTGTGACCTGATTGAGCTAACACCTGGCGAATTTCCACAACTTTTCCAGATACCTGCAAAAGATACTCTTTCACCTTAGTGGGATTGGCTCCCATACCAATCATCTTGTTGTTTCTCTTCCTGGCATAATTTTCTTTGCTGTGATGTGTGTTGAAAAGTCTCTGGAACTATTACATGATTATGATCATTTATGATTGATCTTACAACTAATTAATTTATCACCATTCTTATTTGCTCCAAGAACTATTTTTGCTGGACAATCACGTTTGATGGTACTGAAAAATAAATTATAACATTTACTATTACTTATATGAAAAAAAAAATTCAAAAATGAAAATACTTTTGATTAGGCCTTTTACCCGATCCTTTGCTTTTATAAGAGCCATAGTGTTGACAACCCAGCTTAATGTAAGAATACATCAGATCATCACTGAAGTATAAATAAAGGTAAGATTATAAATAAAATATATATGATATAATTATAACAATAATATGATCTAATAATAATCTTTCACAAAATATGAGAGGTTAGATATTATAAATAAGCAATGAGTGCAGTGTGGTCATAATCTACAACTCAGCACTCACTACACAAAAAGCATTAGATTTTTTACAATTATAAGCACACACGTGGCATATGGCAGTTTTACTCAAACTGATTTTCATTGTGTAATAGACAATACAATTACAAGCGGGCTAATTTAGTGACAAAGATATGTTGTGATAAAAAAGTGTGCTAATTACAAAATCAACCAGTTACGAATTATGACAATTTTTAACAAAATTATTAAAATAATTATCATAAGTAATCATAAATTGCTCACCTGAATGTTTTATTGGGTTGCTTCTTTTTATTGGGGTGCTCTTTCCACCGTTGTTGAATCAGCAACAGTATAATTAACAAATGATTCTTTTTCATATTCAGATAATTTTTTTTTAAATCTATAAAACTAACAAATTCTTCTCCTTCAACAAGCGACATAATAAACAAAGTAACAAGAAAATTTGCGTCAAAATTACTAAATCTCGACACGGAGCACGAGGAGCAACAATGGAGAACGAAATGTATAACCAAAGATACTCTATATATTGCGTCACAAAATTACGTAGTAAAAGTTGGTTACGAAGCGTATGTTTAAAAAACTTATGTTAAAAAAAATAAATTTGTCACTATATCTAAAGTAAATATAAATATGAAATAAATATATTTTGATTGTTTTGCCGTTATCAAATTTTTAGCGGTCTAAAAATTTATATAACCGGTGTCTGTAATATATTTACGTTCAGAAACGGCGGCCGGGTCTATAGTTACTGTCTAATTTTTAATTTAAAGAGAAAGTTTATTTTATAATTTTTTTATAATCAATACCTACAATGTATATAAAATTTATATACATTGTAGGCATTGATTCATTAAATTAAAGTAATTAGTACATTCCTATATTATATGCTTTTGTATAGTAGGCATTAAAAATTTTAATGATTAAAATAAACTTCCATGAAGTCATTTGAATGTGTTTTAACATGTAAATTTACTATTAGGTACTGAAATAAAGTTTCATGCATTTTTGTAAGCATTTTAAAACACAATCCACTACGTAGACATTAATAATGTATACTTTCATGCATCTGGACGTGTAGGAGCTGAAATTAACTGACAAATTTGAATAGAAGCGTTTACATGGTAATTCTTTTTTTATTATATGCTTCCTTGATGTTTAAAATTATTTATTAATTATATTTTTTCAAGCATTGCTAAACAAGTAGACTTTGTTCAGAAGGTGGCCCTGTTGTCAGAGAGGTGGCCCTGAAAATGGCTGTTTAATTGTCATCATCATCATCATCACTGCCATCAGCATTATATTTATCAAAAGATGTTCACTTTTTCTCTGATGTGGATAATAATATTTCCAAATGGCATCTGGCCATATTGTTCCTGCTAAACAAATTCTGCCAATGGATATCTCTGATTAACAATGATCATCAATGTTAACTTTGACGCTCCACCCATCGAAGGTCCGATTCCAGACATCACTTTAGAGGAGCTTACAGAAGCTCTGGAAGCTATGAAGGATGGAAAGACAGCAGGGCCCTCTGGACTCACAAATGACATTATCAAAGCATCTGGTACTGCAGGTATCCAAACATTACTACAACTTTGCCGTGAAATCTGGAGAAATTGCTCAATGCTGACTGAATGGAACTATAGCATGACAGTCCCGCTATACAAATGCAAAGGTGATACATTGAACTGTTCATCATATCGGGGTATACGTCTGTTAGAACACTCCCTGAAAATTGTTGAAAAAATCATTGAGAGAAGATTAACGTCGTGCATCACAATCGGAAATTATTAATTCGGTTTTCTAGCGGGGAATTCTACAATTGATGCAATTCACATCCTTCGGCAACTGCAAGAGAAGTACCTCGTAAAGCATCAACAACTATCACACATTTTTGTAGACCTTGAAAAAGCATTTGATCGAGTTCCCCGTGAAGCAATCAAATGGAGTCTACGTCGACAATTCATTCCAGAAAATTTTGTTCGACTTGTGATGGAAATGTATACGAATACTAAGATTTTTGTCAGCACAACCGTTGAAAACACAGATGCATTTGACATCTGCGTTGGAGTTCACCAAGGCTCGATTCTCAGTCCACTGTTATTTATAACTGTGATGGAGGAAATCACAAAACCGATATGCACTGGTGACATTTGGAATCTAGTATATGCTGATGATATCGTTTTAACAGCCGCGTCTGAGCAGAATGCAGCACAGATGTTTGAAGATTGGAACACCAGACTCGCTGATCATGGATTCAAAGTCAACATCAGCAAAACCAAAGCAATGAACACTGGTGAACCCATCCAATCCACAGCTACTGGATGATGGCCCTGTTCAGTTTGTAAAGCTGGTGTAGGTAACAATTCAATCAAGTGTCAGCAGTGTAACCAGTGGTGTCACAAACGTTGTTCAAAAATAATTGGTACTTTATCTAAAGTGTCCAATTTTGTTTGTCCTGCTTGCATCAATCCACAACAACAAATTCGAAATAGCACTGTTTTTGAAGCCATTAAAATAGAGAAAGTCACATCGTTTCAATATATAGGGGATGTTCTGGATTGTACTGGAACAGCTGAAGCTGCCATTCGAGCACAGATACGTGCAGCCTGGAATAAATGGCATCTCCTTCCCTCTATATCTATATGCGGCGTGACATCCCACTATCACTACGATCAAGACTTTATAAATCTGTGATACGTCCGGCGTTGTTATATGGTGCAGAAACATGGCCAATGACAACCAAACTGGAACAACAACTTCAACGAACCGACATGAAAATGCTCCGATGGATGCAACGAATTAGTCTGAAGGACCACATCAAATCTACCGAAATCCTGCGTCGTGCTGGTTTAGATGATATAAAGGACGAATGCCGGCAACACCGTCTGCGGTGGTTTGGTCATGTCAAACGAAGTGGAAACAGTGCCATAACTTCTCTTGCAGATGTTGAAGTACCTGGCACACGTCCCAAAGGCCGTCCAAAGAAGTCCTGGTCGCAAACAATCGAGCAAGACATGAAAGCTCTAAATTTAAATGAAATGGATACAACTGATCGTCTAATTTGGCGCAAAAAGTTGATGGCAAAGAAACAACGTCCTACCTCGGGAAACCGAGTCTCTGGACGCAAAACGAAGATTGATTGATATCTCTGATTAACAAAATTTTAAGAATGATTGACTGTTGAATGGATTTAGCCCATATTTCCAAGCTGGCTGTAAGCGTGCCATTCACTATGGTTTTTCCTGGTGCAATCTATTTTACTATTAATGGTAATAGTGTTTGTTCATCCCGGGCCTAAATCTCCTCTGAAAAGCAATGTCTGGTACCTCATTCAATCCAGCCGAAAATCCACCCTTCTCTCAAATTCAACTTTGCCCCCTCTTTGATTTTTGATTTGTCAATAATTGTTTCTGGGCTTCCTATGGGTACAACTTGATCCACACATTTTTAGATACATATGTCATGGCAGAAGTTGTACCAATCAATTACAGACTTTGTGCTCGGTTGCAACTTGCGACAATCTGTTTTTACCCGCATGCTCCAGACCCAATAGTAGATTAAACGAACCAGCAACAACCATGCGGTGGTTCATATTGACAGCTTCTGACAGGGCAATGCCAAATTATGCCATTGATGCCTGGTTTATATGCCCTTACAGTAGGGTGGTTCACATTTGAATGGGGAAAAAAATTTTTTGTCTGATTTGAGTGCACACCCTCTGAAAAGTTTCCATTGGGTCCTAAAAACTTACAAACCAAAAATAAGACAAATCAAATTAAATTTAGAGGTTGCTCATGCATCTCAAAATTATATAAAAATGTGATAATTCATTATTTCGAAACCAAATACAAATATAACTGGAAAAGTATCAAAAGTTGGTTACTTACTTAATTCAAAACATAGATATTAGATATTTTAAAATGCATTATTATTATTAAATATTCTATGGTCACCATATTTGTTGTCAGCAAAAAGTAAAATAGGATAAATATCTGCATAATTTAACTGTGTCGATTTACTAGTAATTTGAGGTGATTTTGAAATACCGGTACTGTACATATTTAACTACGTATAAAATGGCTTCTAATTCAAACTGTGGTGCTCTTACAACACGCAGCATGACTAACATATGGCTGATTGGACAGTTACAAAGTGAACTTCCAGTAAATGTATTGCCTACAACAGGTGATGTCCTGAGAATGTTTTTTTTATTATCATCAAGTAGAAAAGAAAACTGTGCCTGAAAGTGCAAAACTGTCGACAGATAAGGTCATGGACATGTGGAACAAGGCTAGAATACCAACAACCTACCATACTCATGTTGTAGAAAAAGTAAAGTCGGTAGTTGATGACTACAAGCTAATAAAAAAGAACAAAAACAGACTAAGTGAAGCACAACGAGCACGAGAGAAGGAATTTGAAGAAAATGAGCACATGCTGTTTGATATTGCTCACCAACACGCCATGCAGCTCATCCGAATTCAGGAAGATATAGAATTTCTTGAAGACCAGAGGGGCAGTCGACGAATGCAAATGAT